CTGGGGACGATTTTTCTATTAGTGTTGGCTATTTGTGAAAAATAATGGACTATTTCAAATTTGCCCTCCACAATCGGCCTGTAGGGGGACACGCCCGACCTATATCTTGGGGGTGTGGCTCACCGAGCCCATATCGACGGGGGACGACGTAGTCTTCATCAACAAGGACCTCGACGAAAGCGGCGCCCAGGTGCAGAAGGGCGACGGGATCACCACGTCCACACGCGACCCATGCCACTTCGAGATACTGGTCATCTCCGACAAGGCCGGCTGCGATGACAGCGAGAGGCTGTCGTCATACTACGAGTCTCTGCTCCGCAGAAGTGGGCCCTACTTCGTGCTTGGCCACCAAGTGAACGCAAGGTTCACCAAGTACGACGCGATCATCTCGTCCTGCGCGAGCACCAACGGTATCGGAAGCAGCTCGCCGTACCCTTGCGGATGCTGCATTGAAATCTGCGACTTCGGGTACAGGTGTGACGACCAGTGCTCTGGGAGCAACACGGTTGTGAATCCCTACGTGGGTAGCAGCTTCAGGGACGGCGGGTGTTGCATCGGACTCCCTGCCTCTCCTCTGCCGACCCCGTCCCCGACGGTGTCGGCCAAGGGTGACCCGCACTTGGTCAACCTTCAAGGCGAGCATTTCGACGTCAACCACGCACTCTGCTGCGCAGCCCGCAGGCCGCTGACAGGACCGCCGAGGTGGAGCTCCAGCCCACCATCCGCCCCGAGCACGGGAAGCCGTGCACCACGTACATCACCGCGGTTGAGCTCTCGGATGCCTGGCTCGGCTGTATCGTCGTGCAGGTGCGCTCTTACCTGCGGTCGCACGCCAAGAACGAAAGCGACTCGTTCTTGGGCTTCCGGGTGCTTGAGCCGGGCGCCTCTTACGAAGCTTCCTGGTCGAGGCTCGCGGACTGGGCCGATGGGAACATCGTCTTGTTCGAGCAGCAGGCCCGACATGGCGTCAGGGTGACAATGTCCAAGTCGCAGTGGCGCAACAAGAAGGGCGTGAAGGAGGGATTGCCGACCATAGCTGGGCAGAGCTTCAGGTCATGATTCAGAACAAGCTGAGCGAGACCTCCGCCATGATCGTCGTCCGTCAAGACTTAGTTACCCCTGCAAGAGCATCTGAATCTGGCTGTGCGGCGCATGAGCGCATACGGGCGTGCAGACATTGGTGGGCTGCTTGGGCTTGATGCGCATGCCGAGACGCGAGAGGATGTCACACCTGAGTGCCAGCGTCACAGAGACGGGTTGGACGAGAAGGCGGGTCGCTGCTGGGCGGGAAGATGAAACGGCAGACGATCAGGGAGCATCGCGCCCGCAGTCCCGCGCCTGGCGGGTCGATCAACGACAACAAGGCGGGGGCCAGCCTCGTCAACAGGGACACGATGTGCGCCTGCCCCGGCGCAGAGCCGAGTGACGCCACGGAGGAGGCCGACCACTCCATGTACGTACTCCGCAAGCTTGATCGGCGGAGGGCGCGATGGCGCCCTCGCAGAGTTCCAGGCGGGCCGGCTTTCCGAGGCAACGTGGGACCGACGGCGGTCTGCGCGGTGTCCGGGGCGCTTCCGCTGTCAGGCGCACCGCGAGGGCCCTCCCGCCCGCCCCGGGCCCCCGCTCGCCTCCGCCTCTTTCTCGGGGCCACCCGTGGGCTCGCGGCTGTTGCGGTCCCGCCGCGGCTGGGTCACCATGCACATGCGCACGTTGTGGCATTCGTGTGTGTGCTTTTCGGGCCAGCGGGCCCCCCGATTGGTCGCATCCGCAGGGAGAGGGGAGAGGGAGGAGGAGGGGGGGCAAGCTAGGTGCGCTCGCGTCATATCTGACGTCCTACCCCTACCTCCCATCCTTTACCATGGCGCAGATTTCCTCCCTATTCGCACAATCGGATGTCGTAGCACGGCATATAATTACATGGCATAGTATGGTTTTGAAGATTTACGCGTAGCATGACATAGCATGGCATGGCGACGCCCCGAAATGAGGGGGGGGGGCTTCTGCGGCCCAACGAATCAAATAATCGACACCGAATGTGTAATCACTTCCGATGGTTTTTTCGGGAGACCATTTTCTGGATTTCGGGGCCTATTCGGAAGGACCGAAAAACATGCCGTGGCATGGCACTGGAAATAATGACGCCAGCGCTGCAGCGGGAGCACGACTCGGAACGAGCGGAAGGGCGGAAATGAGGCCAGCGTTGCAGCGGGAGCACGATTCGGAATGAGCGGTAGCCCGAAAAGGAGGCCAGCGATTCAGCGAGAGCAGCATTTTAAAAAACCAAGCGCGGAATCGCGGAAATGAGGACGCGTAGCCTGACATAACATGGCGTGGCGACGCCCCAAAGTTGGGGGGCTTCTGCGGCTTAGGAAATCAACGAATCGACACCGACTGTGTAATCACTTCCGAATGTTTTTTCGGGTTCGCATTTTCTCGACATTGGGGCCTATTAGGAAGGATCGAACACCATGCCGTGGCATGGCGCTGGAAATAATCTCGCCAGCGCTGCAGCGGGAGTACGATTCCGAACGAGCGGAAGCGCGGAAATGAGGCCAGCGTTGCAGCGGGAGCAAGATTCGGAACGAGCGGTAGTCCGAAAATGAGGCCAGCGCTCCAGCGAGAGCAGCATATGTAAAAAAGCGAAAATCAGTCTCCAGGAAATCCTGCGTGTATAATACCAGTACGCGGAGGAGGGCCGGCCATTTCCCGGACGCCACCAGGGGAGAGAGGAGAGTCGTATTCAGATTATTTATTTGTGGAGGAGGAGGACGAGGAGGAGGAGGAGGAGGAGGATCACTGTGAAAGCAGGCGCACTTTGGGCTTTTGACCTGTTGAGCTTGCTCCAGTTTCTGCCGTGCGCGCACACTTTTGCAAGGTGCGGCCCGCGCAGCAGCGGTCGCGAGGCGAGTGGCGCGAGCGGGAGCGACACGTCGATTGAGCGGGCCGGCTGCTCGATCCTCTTTGGACGTGGCTGCCATCGATCGGTCTAGTTTTCCGCTGAACAACATAACAATATGATAACATAACACATACATGTGTATGAACATACACGAAGGTGCGCATGGCCGTGCTCCCACCCCTGTCCGGGCTCACTAGTCAGCCCGGCCTCCCACTCCTCGGCCCACCTCTGCATCTTGGCTGCTATATTGGGGCGCTCTGCCGGGGTGAGTGTTTCAGAGGACGAGGGGCATGCATGTCTGGGCCCCGTTTCCAGGCTTTGGCGCACTTGCGCTGCATATTCGGGGGGCCTCGTCTGTCCAGGAAGTTATGGCATGTTATGATGCCCGATTCGTGGACGGCGCGGGTTCGCCGTGCGACCGGCGTGGATACGACGCGACTTCGACTGGCTCGACACGGATGCCGCACGGATTCGACGACGCGGATCGCGGAGAGACTGGACAGACAAGGTTCGAAGAGGAAAAATCTGCATAAACATACAGTTTGGCGATCCGCGCGGATTTCTTGGATCTGCGCTGGCCCACCCGGCGGCACCGCGCTCCAGGGATGGGGGGGTTCAGCGCAGATCCAAGCAATCCGTGCGGAGCGCTTCTTCTATAAAGGTCCCCCGAAGATGCAGCGCGGGAACACAGGTAGGGAGCAAGCCAGCCCCAGGAGGAGCAGCGGCGGCTGGCGGCGGTCGGGGTCCTGCTGCAGGAGGAGCAGCAGCGCGGTGCCGCTCTGCAGGAGCGGCTGCTGCGCGAGCAGCGGGAGGCGCGCCCGGCGCTGGAGACCCCGAGGGGAGACACGGCCAGCGGGGCCCCGAGGACCAGGGGTGGACGGAGCCCCCACCCAGGCGCGTCGATCCGTGAATGGTCCGTTGTCGGTTCTCGCGAGGGCGCCGCGGCGGTCGTGTTTTCCAGGCCTGCGGCCGCCAGGTTTGGGCCCGAGGTCGTCTTCACGAGGCCACGTTTTGCCAAAGGGGGTTCTGTCCATCCCCGAGATGACCCAGCGGCGCGCCCCGGGGAGGGCTCATCTCGACTCCTCCGATTCGAGTCGCGTCCCGAGTTCGATGGCTTCCGATTCTGATTCGGCCCGCCTTCGGGTTCCGAACTGGATGCCGATGTCTCAACGGAGGCCCGCAAGCCTGCCGATTTCCGCCGATCCGACTTCTCCCGACGCGGCTGCCGATTTCCGCCGATCCGAGTCATGTCGATCGCCGACTCGACTCATCGATTCGATTCTGAGCCCTCCCCTTGGGGGGAGGGCAGCGAGGCTCGAGGTGCTCGAGGTTCGAGGCGTTCGACGGTGCCCGAGGGCTTTCCTGCCGCCGGGTGCGCTGCAGCAGCTGCGCCTCGCCGAGGGCGCTCCCGGGGGTGCCTGGATGGTTCCGGACGGCCGTCCGAGAGCTGCGCGCTGTGACCCGAACGCCGAGGCGCCCAGGGGGGAAGGCAGAGGGGGCGGGCCTGTGCTCACTCAGACTTCAGGGCGGTTTCTTCCCGAGCCTGCTCCGAAGCTGCATAACTGGCTTCTGAGAAGGCCTTCTCAGAAGCCCCACCGCATTCGGAGGAGGCCTCTCCCCTGCCGCTTCCCCTCGTGGTGCGCCGCCGAAATTTGGGCGTCTGCTCAATGGTATTGCACCCGATTTATTTGCGCCATCCCGCCGACCTCCAAAAGAGAAACGATGGACACGGGTGAGGCCTTTTGCCTCCTGGAGCGATCTTTGGGGCCCCTTGGGCCGCTTTGGATTCTGTTGAAGCCGCATGGGTGAGCATGCCAAAACGCACGCTCTCCCGTCGGTGTTAGGGGCGATCTGGGCCTCCTGGGCCATGTTTTGGGGTCCGCTTGGAGCTCTTTTGCGGGCGTCTTGAGGGCTTCTCGGGCCGACCTGAGGCTATCTTGGTTGCTTTCGAGGCCTCCTTGGCGTCTTGGAGCCCAGCTTAGATGGAGTCTTGCGCATCTTGGAGGCCACGGCGTGCAGAAATGCCTGCCCGACTTCGCTTCTCGAGGCGCTCGCCACACGGCCTTCTGTTGCTGCAGGGGTGCTCCGTGTGAGGGTGGCTCTCCTGTCCTCCAGGCCTCGGAAGAAAGCAGCGGACACTCATGCCACGCCTGTCAACGCCTCCCCCTCCCCCCAGTGCTCAAAGTTGGCGGTGGGCCTGACGAGTTGCACCTCGACCGCAGTCTCCCCCGCGCGTGCTATCTTTGAGTTTGGGGGGGAGGGGGGGTGTTCAGTAATTGCTTCTCTCTGCCGCCCCTCCAGGAGCGGCAGCGGGACGAGCTGGAGCAGCAGCTGGCCGTGGAGCGCGGCCGCCGCGCCGCGGCGGAGGCGGAGCTCCGGCGCAGCTGCGACGCCGCGGAGGCTTTTTGGGGGGGCGTGCTCTCTTGGCCGCGCGGGGGCCCCTCCTGTGGCCGGGCCCCGCGGGGCCGCGACGGCGAGGCCGCACGGAGAGTCTGAGAGCAGGGTTTTTTGTTGTCGCGCCGGGCGTTTGCGCCCATCTTCGGGCGAAGAGGAGGTTGGAGGAAGGGGAGGAGGAGGATGGGGGAGGAGGAGGGGGAGGAGGCGGAGGAGGAGGAGGAGGAGGAGGAGGAGGAGGAGGAGGAGGAGGAGGAGGAGGGAGGAGGGAGGAGGGAGGAGGAGGAGGGGAGGAGGGAGGAGGAGGAGGAGGAGGAGGAGGAGGAGGAGGAGGAGGAGAGGAGGAGGAGGAGGAGGAGGAGGAGGAGGAGGAGGCGGTGGAGGGTCCGTAGCAATTTTGTTTCAAGTGGCCCAAACCTTTTCCCCTCCTCGTGGGGGGCGGGCCGCTGCTGGGATGGACCTCGCGGGCGCCAGCCTGGCGCGCGTGCGGCAGCTCTGCGCCAGGGCCAGCCCCGAGCCGTGGAAGCACAACGAGATGAGGAACGAGGTGGGCTGCCCGAACGAGTGGCGGCCTTCAAACCAGCTCCAGCGCGAAGTCGACCTCTTCGGCGCCTGCAAGGCGCGCCGGCTCGCCCGCAGGCGGCGCCGTGACGCCTGCGAGGCGGGGCTTCGCAAAGCTGGCATCATCACCGAGACGAAGTACATCGTAATCCAGGTGGCGGCACCTCACCAGATATTGGGAGAAGTGGCAGCACAGCGGCAGCAGCACGAGCATTGGCAGCAGCACGCAGCGGTGCCAGCTGCGGCTTTTTCGCCAGGGGTCGCATATCCGTCGGCCGATCGGATCCGTCAAAGGGCGGCGGAGGCGGCGCGCGCCGCGCCGTGCCTGCGAGCTAGACAGGGAAAGCGGCACCGAGGAGAGCGACCCAGACCCAGCCAACAACGAGAATTACGACGATAAGGAGCCGATCGACCCAGACAGCAACGTCAAGAAGGAGGGCAGTGGCAGCCTGGACATAGAAAAGCACGGGCAGTGGCAGCCTGGGCATAAAGAAGAGCGGCAGTGGCAGCTCGGGTGCAGGCAGTGCGCGATACGCGGGCAGTGGCAGCTCGGGCATCAAGACGAGTGGGTTCGTGGACGCCTGGCTCAAGACAACTCGTTGTTCAAGCACAACATCTTGGCTCAAACCTGCAGCATCGCCGAGCCAGCCCCGCGCCCCCCGCCAGACTCAGCTGGCAACGCGAAGTACGACGAGCAGGAGATCCAACCATATCCAGCCAGCAACGAGAAGGACGACGAGAAGGAGCCGACCGACCCAAACATCAACGAAGAGAAGGAGGGCAGCGGCAGCCTTGGCACACAGAAGCACGGGCAGTGGCAGCCTGGGCACACAGAAGAACGGCAGTGGCAGCTCGGGCACAGGCAGTGCGAGAAACGCGGGCAGTGGCAGCATGGGCGTCAAGAAGCGTGGGTTCTTGGACGCCAGGCTCAAAACAATTCCCTGCTCAAACACAACAGTTTGGCTCGAACCTGCAGCACCGCCAAGCCCGCCTTACACCTCCCGCCAGGCCCAGCCAGCAACCTGAAGTACGACGAGCAGGAGCCCGTCGACCCATCGTTCCCCGCGGAGCAGCGCTGCCTCGACAATTCGCTGGTCGCCGCAGTCCGAAAGGCCCGCGCACGAGAGCGATCAGCGAAGTACGAGCCCGATACGATCAGCTACAACGCAGGAGTAGAAGAGCGAGGTGGGCGGGCAGCGGCAGCGGGCTCTGGCAGTGGCAGCTACGCGAAGCGTGGACCCGACGCCATCAGCTACGAGGGAAGCCGCACAGCGAAGGACGCGACCGACGGCACCAGCTACGAGGGCGAGGGCAAAGCGAAGGACGAGCCAGACACCATCAGCTACGAGGGAGGTGGCAACACGAAGGACGAGCCCGATGTCATCAGCTACGAGGGAGGAAACAAAGCGAGGACGAGCCCAATGCCATCAGCTACGAGGGGGCGGCACTGCGAAGGACGAGCCAGCCGCCACCCATCACGAGGGAGGTGGCGCAACGAAGGACGAGCCAGACGCCATCAGCCACGAGGGAAGTGGCAACACGAAGGACGAGCCCGATGCCAACAGCTACGAGGGGGGAAGAGCGAAGGACGAGCTCAATGCCATTAGCTACGAAGGGGGTGGCAAAGCGATGGACGAGCCAGCCGCCATCAATGGCCTCGGCGACACAACGGAGGAGGCAGTACTGCGAGCACGCCTCGATACTGTGCAAGCAACGGGGGCCCGTGCGGCCTTCGAGCGGCTCCCGAAGGAGGAGCAGCACGTCTACGAAGAGGTCTCGATCGTCGAGCTCGCGGCCTACGCGCACTACAGGCGCTATTATGCCCGAGGCCGTGGCGCGGACGGAGAAGAGCAGGCCGCCCAGGCCTGGAGCTCCCTGGACAGCGAGGAGATGGCGGAGTGGGTTACCGACAGCCTACGGGACGAACTCGCCGCGGACCCGCGCCTGGCGCCGTACCTCCAGCGCGGCCGGCCCCGCAGGCGCAGACCGAGAAGAAGGGTCTCGTTCGCCAGCGGCGTGGGCAAGGAGTACGACAGCTGCGACGACTTCCCCAAGCCATACCAGAAGGTGCGCGTCTGCCTCGCCGAGGAGGTGGATGATCACTTCGAGGCGGAGAGGCGTCCGGGATCGTGAAGAACGCGTCCGGCGCCTCCCTCGAAGTGATCACCTGAGGCTTCGGCGCCCCAGAGGCGCTATAGAGCCTATATCGAAAGGCCATCGAAAGGAGGAGGAGGAGGAAGAGGAGGAGGAGGAGGAGGAGGGGGAGGAGGAGGAACCCCGACCTGTGCGGGCCCCGCGGGACCCGCACATCTCGATCCGGCTCGAAAAGTGGCGCCTCGGGGTCCGAGGCGTTGGTCGTGATGTTGCACGCTGCTGTTTTTTTGGGGGGGCGTCGTCTGAATTCAGAAGGGCGTGCCAGCCTGCAGGCCGCGAGTAAGTTTGGTCCTCCACGTGTAGCCGCGCAGTGTGACAGAGAGCATCTGCTCGGGGCGCTAGAAGCCGCCCGCATCCTGACTCCCTGTCCCAGAGGCCCCAGAAGGCTCCTCGGGAGGCGGGGGGCTTCCAACCCCACCTCTCGCAGGGCCAACGCCGACCCGATCGGTCCAGTTCGATATCGATTTTGGCCAGTTCGACCGACCTCGAGGAAGTTTGTTCTAGTTAATTATTAGATTTCGGATCCAAGCCGAGGCTGCGTGGGTCGATACACATCCGATGCACATGCTGACTGATCTTGGCATCGGAAGAAATTAGCGTGCATTCATGCCGCATTGATTTGTCAATGCCCCCCAATGGTCAGCGTTGGCGGTGGGCTGAACGAGCTGCGCGCGCGTGCCAACTTTGAGTTCGGGGGAGCGGGACAGCGTCCACGAATTGTTTCCCTCTGCCGTCCTGCGCCCCTCGCCCGTCGTCTTAGGTCGGGCATGTCCCCCTACACGCGGATTTTGGACGAACGCGAAGAAATTGCCTGACACATATGTTTATACAGATCCCCAAACAGTCCAAAACCTCGTGGCCCGGGATTATCCGGTGACCATGTTTGAATATTCCCCCTGTAGAGGGACACGCCCGATTTCACCCTACAGCTTGGACGCGCCGGCAGGGACCCCGCACGCATGCAGCGCAGCCCATGAGCACATCACGCCGGCGTCGACAGCCAGAGCCCGAAAGCCCGCCGTCCTCCCCTGCCACCCCACAGGGCGACTGGGCCGGGCTCCTCATGCCATTCCGCTGTGGCTGACGTGTTCGCCTGGTGCTCGACGATCGGAGGTTGATAGGCCTCCTACCCTGACACGTCGATTAGCAAATTGGCCGTTTTCGGTTCGCGAGAGGGCGTTGCGGCCGTCATTTTTGCGGGTCCAGGTCCGTCGGTTTCGGTCCTAGGCCGTTCTCACTAACGGGTGGTTTGTTACAGGGAGGTTTGTCCACCGCCGAAACCTTAGGGGAGACATAAACATAAAAGCTCGGAGCTCCCTCCCTGGCGCGCTCCGCGCGCCAGGGGCGACGCCGGAGGCGCCGCCAGGGGGGTCCAGCGCGGATCCGAGAAATCCGCTCGAACCTCCGAGTTTTTATGTTTATGTCATTCTTCGCTCCCCTATCGACGCCACGGCCTCGCCCACCTACGATGCGATGCGATGCGATGCGATGCGATGCGATGCGATTCGGTCGCCAGTTGGGGCCGCAATTCCGATTCGATTCGATTCGGTCCGTTTCACTGGCATCGGCCGGCGCCAGCCGGAGCCTGGCGCGGCGATCCGATCTCGATCTGATTCGGGACGAGACGCTGGCGATCCGACCCGTTTCCGATCCGATGCGATCTCTCGCTTCGATCCAGCTCGTGCCTGCCTGGCCTGAGGCAGGCCCGGGCACCTGTCCGCAGCGCTGGCCTGTCCTGTCCTGCACCTGGGCGTGACCCGTCCCCCTGAGCGACCGGCTCTCTCCGCCCCCTCTTCCGGCCGCGTCCTCCTGCCGTTCCCCCTCCTTGCGTGGTGGCACAATTTGCTCACCTGGCACCCCCGCTTGGGCCCCAGACATGCGACATCCTATTTTTTTTTCACTACGGCGTCCTCGGAAGTCCCGACCCTTCCCCCAGGGCCGGTGTTTCACCCTGCGTCGTTTTTTCACGGTCCCGGGGCCCAGCGAGGGCCTCCGGAGACCGAAAACGGCGGAAACACCTCCGTCTTGATTTTTGTTCACGACGCGAGCATGTTTGGGGCCTTTCCGCTAGAGCGGCGACCCCTGCCTCGCCGCCGACGCCAAAAGTGTCCGGCCCCTGGGCGCGCTGCCAGCAGAGCGAGCTGCCAGCGGAGCAACGTAAGCTTCAGGGCTCCAGCGCCAGGCGTGGGGGACCCTTGGCGCCGCTCCCCTGCCTCTCTGCCGCGCTGCCCCCCGTCGTGAGCGCTACACGCGTGCCGCTCTGCAGCGCCTCTGCCCGGCAGCGCTCCGTGCCCCAGGGCTCGCCTCAAGTCGGGCGTGTCCCTCTAGAGGAGGGATGTTCAAAAGTAGTCAAAAACACAGTCTGGGGACGATCTGTTTTGACGATGGTCTTCTATTTTGGGGGGCTGTTGTCCATTTTTCCTCCAAGATCGGCCTGTAGGGGGACATGCCCGACCTACGGCTCGCCAGACGTCATGGCCTTATCTTCCTCGTTCAGGCGATCGCCAACATGAACAAGGGGGCGTGAGTCACAGCGACGGGTCCCGTTTCCATGGGAGAAATCGCGGCTTGCTGCCGCCGAGGGAGGCGGCACCTGACGCATTTTGGAGAGTGCACCTCCCCCCCATGGGTTTGGCGACTGCGGGACACCTTCGGCATCTCCCGAGGCTTTTTGAACGAAGGCCCCCCCAAGGCTGAAAGTCGGGCGTGCCCCTCGACAGGAGGCATGTATTCAAAAACAGTCGAAACATAGCCTGGGGACTATATGTTTTGTTTCCTTGCGTCAGAAAACAGTGTTTGTTTCTCGTCCCAACTTGGCCTCTAGGGGGACATGCCCGACCAAACTCGAGGCCTCCGGAGCACGCGGCCCAGCGGGCCCAGGGGGCTTCGGCAGGGCCGCGGGCAGCCGGGGGGGACGCCTCCGGCCGGGGGCCCCCTGCAGCACCTCCCCTTCCCGAGAGAGGCGGGCGCGCCCTCCCGTGCCCTGCCCGTGCGCGCCACCCGGAGGGCCCTGAGATCCGACGTTGCGAAAACATTGCAACGTCGCGAACGTCGTCGTCGTCGTCGTCGTCGTCGTCGTCGTGAAAACAGGCACGGCCAGAGGCCTGGGCCCCATCCTCTTGCGTCTTTCTTCTGGCCGCAGCGATCGGTGATGGTCCCTGGGGCCCGGCACCCGTCGAAGGCGCCCGTGACAGATCGCAAGGGGCGCCGGCTTGAAGATGGAAGCGGGAAGCTGGGGGCGCCTTCGGCCAGAGGCACCTTCAGCACCTCCCCAGGTGAGCGCGCCTGGGAAAGCCAAAAAGTTCCTGTACCGCTTCTCCCTGGACATCTCCTGGGGTACGTTTTGACTAGAATTTCGAAGCGAATCCAGCGCTGGCGACGATGGACTCCCAGGAGACCCAAACAGCGGAAAAAAGCGAAGGGTAGCGGTATGGGTACCATTTTAACATGCATACTCATCTTTTATTGCTCATGTGTGGAGGCTGCGAAGTGCCGTTGAAGGCTACTAAAGGCTGCTATGAGGCGACTAACAAGTCAACTTGAGGCCGCTAATAATACACTAAAGGCTGCTAAAGGCCACTAAAAGCCACTACACCGAAGCGGTATATGTTAAAATGAGCTTCCAAGAACGCTCACCTGATTCTCCGTGTGCCCTGCCTTACCCCATGGCCCAGTTGAGGAACCAATCCCACCGAATTGTTGCCAATCCCGGCCGCCTGGGGCCAATCCCGCTTGCATGTGGTTTAGATTGGGGCCAATCCTGTCCCGGCTGCTCTGACAAATACGTTATAAAGAAATTTTTGCATGCACTTCAAAACTACCTGATTATGCTTAAGGTCACCCGCCCGCACTTTCCACTATCCATCGCCAGGATTCGCCCCTGTGGCCTTCAATTCCCGAAGACTCCTATGTGATTTTTGTTTACGAGTCGTATGTGAGTCATTCACGAAGCCGATGTGAATGTGTATACGTTTCCAATGTATACGATCCCTTTGTGAGGTACACGATCCCGATGTGAATCGCTTACGATTGCAATGCATACGAACACTGTTGCATTGTGCACGACATTTATGCGAAGCGTATACCGTTCCTATGTGTTTCCTGGCGATTCCTGTGTGAGACCCGTATATGGACCCTATGTGCGTCGTATGCAATTTTCGTGTGAATCGTAGATGGCTCCTATGTGAAGCGTATTCGAGACTTGCGTGAATCGTCTACAATTCCGATGTGAACCGCCTACGACTCCTATGCGAAACGTATTCGTTTCCGATGTGCATCGTGTACGAATCTTGTTGCAATCGTAAACGAATCCGGTGTGAACGGTGTACGATTCCAATGGGAATGGTCGACGACTCTTATGTGAAGCGTATACGTATGTTATGTGAACTCTGCATGCTTCTTATGTGAACCGTATGCGGTTCCAATGCGAATCGTATACCATGTGAACCGTATACATATCCCATACGCGTATCGTATAATATGCTGGTGTACATCGCATACGATTCTTATGTGAGTCGTATACGGATATTGTGTGAAGCGTATACGGTTTTTGTGCGAATGGTCTACAGTTCGATGTGGATCGTAAACGAGTCCTAGAGAACCGTAGACGGTTTCTAGGCGAATCGTGTACGACATGTATGTGAAGACCATGTTATGTGAGTTGTATACAACTTTTGACAATGAAGCGTATATGATTAAAACGTACATCGTATATAGCCGTGCGTATCGTAACCAGTTCCTACGTGTACCGTATACGATTCACTCAGGAGGCCTTTCAGAAGCCTCTCAGGGGCACTTCCCAGAGGCCTCTCAGAAGCCCCTCAGGGCACTTCACAAGAGGCCTCCCAAAAGCCCCTCAGGGGTACCTCCCAGGAGGCCTCTCAGAAGCCCTTCATTCAGAGCAGCACTCCTTCAGAAGTCTTGAGACCATTTCTTAAGAAGGCTTGAGAGCTACTCTGACCACGCAATACTTACGAGGATTCTCGGCCGGGACTGGTATCGAACCCCGGGATTGGTCCCAAACGGGCTGCGCTTGGAACTGGTAAGCCGGGCTTGGTCTCAGTATCGGGCGTTGCTGGAAGTACCCCTGGCCCAAGGTGCCCCCCCTTTTCGCTCCATTTTGGAGCCCCATGAGGCCTTCTGGGCCTCGTGAGGGGTGCTCTGGAGGCCGTTCGGGCTACCCCGAGATTCGGATGCAACTCCTGGGAGGTCAAATTCTGAGTTTGCCCTGGTCCGAAATCCGGCTTGATCCAGCTTAATCCTGTGCAATTCGGCTTAATCCCGCTTCATCCCGTTCAATCCGAGGCCCATTCCGGCGTAACAGCCCCCCATTGGGACTTCGTCCTCCTTCGTCCTTCCGGCGGAGACCTCCCAGCAGCTGCCCCCCCACCGAGAATCTTGGGGGCACCCCGGCCCAGGAACACTTCTGGCAGCACCCGGCGGCATTCCCGGGCCCCGCGCCCTTCCCGCGGGGGCCGCTCGAGAGAGGACGGCCCCCAGGAGCAGCGGCTGTGCCTCGAGGCGGAGCGGGGGCGCCACCGCGCCGCCCTGGAGGAGGAGCGGGCGCGCGGCGCCGCCGCGCTGGAGGAGGATCGGCCAGACGCAAGAGCGACCTCTCGCCGAACTGCCAGAGGTCTGCTCTCGTGGGCGAGCGGGTCTAAGTCCCGAGCGGGCTGTGCCCGACGGCGTTTTTTTTGTTGTCGTGGCCTGGCGCCGGTTTTGCCCGTGGACGTGGCGATAGTCAGAGGAGACGTTCGCGTGGTGTGACGTGCGTCCTGTCTGGATAAGCATGTGCGTTGTTCGTGGTGAAGTGTTGCAGTATTCTGCGAGCCTTTCATATTCACATTCCAGAAGCCTGGCCCTGGGGCCTCTGGGCCCCAGCACACCAGGGGCACCCAGGGTACACGAAGTGCCCCTTCGGCTCCCGGAGCGTCCCCGCAGCCTCCCTGGAGCTTGCTCGCAAACAGGAACATATACATTACCAGTGGCGGGTTGTTTTTCAATCCCATGACTTTTTAAGGGCCAGGGACCACATTGGGGTGGTGTGGTGTCCCCCGTTTCCCGAGGGAAACAACGAAAAATGTATACACCAGGATCCCGTATACACCAGGATCCGCGCTCCTGTGCGAATTTCAGCGCAGGGTCGGGAAAAGCGTCGGTGTATAGAGTTCGTTTCCCTACTTGCCACAGCACCCCAAGAGCTTCCAGATATATGTTCAGACGGGCCAAGATGTCTGCCGGCGGGCCAAAATGGCTCCAAGAGGACCCCCCCACAGGGCCTTAAGAGGCAACAGTCGGCCCATTCCTATAGGGAAGCGCGCGTTTTTCGCATGTCCATTTGTTGGTCTCCGTAAGGACAACCGACGGCCCAAGAGGCCCATAAGATCGCTTCAAGACGGCCCAAGAGGCACCCAGGAGTGCTCCAAAACGGCCAAAGAGGGTTTCAGGACGGCCCCACAGGCGCCCAAGAACGCCCCAAGTGGGCCCCAACACGGGCCCCAGAGGGGGCATTCGAACTGTAAGTTCGAGCCTCCTGCCCCAAGAGGATCCCCAAGACCCAGAGGAGGCTCCCAAGATGCGCCCAAGAGACCAACACTTGCCCCCAGGAGGGCCTCAAGAGCCCCCAAGATCCCCAAATGACCCCCAAGCGAGCCCAAGAGAGTTCAAAGCCTTCAAGAGTCCCAAACGGCCCCCAAGAGGCCCCCACAAGGTTCACAATTGCCTCCAAGAGGCTCCCTGCAGGTTCCGAGACCCCAGCAGCCACACGAGAGGCCGTTAATCCCTAACCCAGGCGCGGGATGGGCCGAATGCCATCATCCGTGGAGGAGGAGGAGGAGAAGGAGGAAGAGGAGGAGGAGGAGGAGGAGGAGGAGGAGGAGGAGGAGGAGGAGGAGAGAGGAAGAGAGGAAGAGAGGAAGAAGGAGAGAGGAGGAGAGGAGGAGGAGGAGGAGGAGGAGGAGGAGGAGGAGGGAGGAGGAGGAGGAGGAGGAGGAGGAGGAGGAGGGAGGAGGAGGAGGAGGAGGAGGAGAAGGGGGAGGATGAGGAGGAGGTGGGAGAGGAGCAGGAGGAGGAGGAGGAGGAGGAGGAGGAGGAGGAGGAGGGAGGGGGAGGAAGATCAGGAGGACGAAGAGGGGGGAGAGGAGGGGAAAGGAGGAGGGGCATTGTTCTTGTAATCTAATATTGTTCTCTGATTCTCTGGCTCGGGGAGGGATGCTGAGGACGAGGAGGGACGGGAGCGCAGGATGAAGAGGGCTCGAGAGGAGGAAGGAGGTGAAGTAGGTGAAGGACCACAATGAGGGACACACCGAAGAGCGGGGAAGGCAGGGAGGAGGAGGAGGAGAAAGAGGAGGAGGAGGTGAAGGACCAGGGATGTCTTTCAGGGAGACGCCGACGAGGAAAAGGATGGGTAGAAGAGGTTGGGACGAGGGAGAACGGGAGGAGGAGGGGAAGGGGATTGCAGTGGACCGGGGATACTGACTGCGATGACGCTGATGATGATGATGACGATGACTATGCCAACGACGACGCCGACGACGACCAACTAGATGTTGATGATGCGGATGGTGATGTTGAAAAGTACGATGACGATGATGGCGATGGTGATCACGATGCTGATGATAATGGTGATAATGATGATTGTTGTGATGGTGGCGGTGAAGGTGACCATGACCAGAGCGATGACGATGAAGATGACGGGGATGAGGATCATAATGATGACGATGAGCATGATCCTAGCTAGAACTTGAGCGCGCGCAAAGCGCGCGCGATCCTTCTAGTTTGAATTATCCAGAACTGTTCAGAATTCAGCAAACAGCAGAGGTTTCTGACATATTCTGATAAACTGTGATACTTCCTGACGGATTCTGGAAAGGCTCCATGCGACCCACCTAACATCGAACCACGAGAAGATTCTGCTAACGAGTGACTTTTGGTGCGGGCCCAATGGGATTCCCCGATCGTCGAACGCGTGGCGGCGGTGGCGTCTTGCGTGCTTGTGTTTGGCCCCCCCGTGGCCCCCAAAAAGCCGCGCACCAAAGGTCACTCTTACCCAGGGTCGCTCTTGCGTGTAGTCGAGAGGAGCGGGGCCGCCGCGGCGCCGCGGAGGAGCTGGGAGAGAGGCAGCGACATTCGATAGGGGAACGAAGAATGACATAAACATACAAACTCGGAGGCCTGCGCGGATTTCTCGGATCGGCGCTGGAGCGCGCCAGGGGCGGCGCCGGATGCGCCGCCAGGGGAGTCCAGTGCAGATGCTCCGCGCGGACCTCCGAGTTCTTATGCTCATGTCATTCTTCGTTTCCCTATTCGAGGCCTCCCAGATGGGGTCCGAGTAGGTGGGGTCGAAGCATCGCGCCACATCGCGGCCACGCGCAGAGGGGGGGGTAGGGGAAGGGGGGAAGTCTTCTTAGAAGCGCCCCTGCTTCTTAGAAGGCGCGGGCCTTGTCTGTAGATGTAAGGCTGGCGCCTTCTAAGAATCAGCCTCCTTCTAAGAAGCCCCACCCCCCATCCCCTAGCAACCTACCCCCTTGCGCGCGCCGCCAAACATCGCCGATGCATCGGCGATGCGGCTCGATGTTGGGCCCGAGTTTCTCCACGCCGACGGTGCCGATGCATCGCCGACGTCGCCGGTGCATCGCCAATGTATCGGCAATGCGTCGGCGACCCTCCGACCCCATCTACCCCGACCCCATCTAGGCGGCCTCGAGACATTGGACCGAGGGGCAAACATCCAGTAAACACACGAGCGCTGCAGACGAGTTGTCTGATCTTCATTTGCGTTGCCTCCGTAGCCTGCGTGGCTCAGAGCGCTCGGCAAAGCCAGGCCACTCCCTGAGGAGCAGGAGGAGGAGGAGGGGGAGGAGGAGGAGGAGGAGGAGGAGGAGGAGGAGAGGAGGAGGGAGGAGAGAGAGGAGGAGGGAGGAGGAGAGGAGGGAGGAGGAGGAGGAGGGAGGAGGAGGAGGAGGAGGAGGAGGAGGAGGAGGAGGAGGAGGAGGAGGAGAGGAGGTAGGAGGGAGGAGGGAGGAGGAGGAGGAGGAGGGAGAAACGTCCGGGGGAGCCAAAGCACAAACCAGTTGAAGACATCCCTTCGCACACTCATGCAGGCAACGGCATTCGATCGGGCGTGGCGTTATTGGGTGGGGGGGCGATCAATTGGGGGGGGCGGGCGAAGAAAGGTGCGCCTCTTGTTCAGGAGGGAAAAAACACACAGACACAATGAATCGTCGATTCCCCAGAAAATAGGGGAAACTATGGGAAGTGGGGGGAAGACAACAACCCAGAACATATGGGGAAATAGGGGGACTTCTGTGATTTGTGTCTATTTATTTGTGTGTCCAAGGGCCCCTTCACTTGTGCCCTGAAGGGGACCTGCAGGGGCCCAAGCGGGGCACGTAAGGCGCACATCCACCACCCACCCACCCATGCATCGCCCCCCCATTTCAAGCAGCGCCCACTGAAGGGTTCGAGGCCTCCTGGATGGGTTCCGAGTAGATGGGCTCGGAGGATGACGCCACGGCGGCGATGCATCGGAGATGCGGCTCGATGTGGAGCCCGATCTTCTCCACGGCGACGCCGTTGCATTGCCGACGTCGCCGATGCATCGGGGATGCGTCGGCGATGCGGCGCGACCCTCCGACCCCATCCGCTGCCACCCCAGTTGGGAGGCCTCGAGACACACACTAACTCTGACGCGATGGATCGTTCCCTCCTTCGTGTGCTTCTCCTCCTCTTCCTCCTCCTCCTCCTCTTCCTCCTCTTCCTCCTCCTCCTCGTCCTCCTCCCCCTCCTCCTCCCTCGGAGGTGGAGGAGGGAGGAGGAGGAGGGAAGGAGGAGAAGGAGGAGGAAGAGGAGGAGGAGGAGGATGAGGAAAAGAAGAAGGGCCTCCCCTCCCTCCCCCAGAAGAAAAAAGCTCGGGTGGGGCGCGGCAGGGCGAACTCTGCGCACATGAGAGCGTGGGGTGGGGGGTGGGGGCAGAGGAGCACGGCCGCCACGGAGGGAGCAGAGGGATCGGGCGAGCGCGAACATGGATCAAAGGGGGGCGTGCAGCAGCGACGGGCCCCGCTTCCGTGGGACACCGCGGCTTCCCGCCGCCGGGCGAGGCGGCACTGGCCGCATCTTCGGGAGGGCCACCTCCCCCGATCTTCCGCCTCCTCCGCCTCCTCTTCCTCCTCCTCCTCCTCCTCCTCCTCCTCCTCCTCCTCCTCCTCCTCCGCGCGCCGAATCCGTGGATCGCTGATCCGTGTCTGCGCGCCCCCGGCAGAGGGAGGGTGGCGCCCTCGGGCCGCGAAGGCCGTCGTGGGTGTGGCTGCGGCCTCGGGGCGCTGGGCAGGAGCCGTGCGCCACTGGGAAGAGGGCGCGGGCGCCCGAAGAGGGCACCTCGGAGGAGGGAAGGGTACTCGCGCCGCTGCCCTCGCCTCGCCTTCGCGTCGCTAGGCCTCCTGGGAGGCCCTCGTGGCCACCGCTGGGTTCGCCTCGAGATTCTGGCCAGGACGCACCCCAGGAGAGGTCCGGGGAGCAGCGGTATCGGTACCGTCTGGCTTCCCCAGCATGAGGACGCAGTGTAGGCCCCCACCTCCTCTCGTCGCAGGCAA